ATGTTAGGATCCTTAGTATAATCCCTAGGAAGGGGAGGGTTTATCTATTATTGGTCTACATGAACACTGAATATGTCCTACAAGTAGAACAGACTTCATACATTGGAGCCAATGAATAGTGGGCAAGGAACTCAGAAAGCTTCCAAGAGGGAGGCCTCAGCACTCATTATATACATGCATTACGTTGGAAATACTCATTCTTGGATTAAGGGGAGGGCACTGCACTAACCCCCTCAAATCCTAAATCCATACCCTCAGATGTGGTCCCCTATATAATGCCTTATATAACCCTAAACCCCTAAACCCTAAATTCTATACCCTAAACCCTAAACCTTTAGGTGGTTTCATCCGTCTAGGCCTAGTGATTCCGCGGCTGCGCATCTCTTGTGGCATCAGCGCCGGGCGTCGGAATACCTTGACTCCTTCGGGGATGGACTAAAGGTTTAGGGTTTTAGGGTTTAGGGTTTAAAGGGTTAGGGTTTAGGGTTTAAAGGGTTTAAAGGGTTTAGGGCTTAGGGTTTACAATCCCAGAAACAAACATGAAAGCCGAAATGTCGCCTTTTTGGAGTAACAGTTGTCTTTGTAGGGATCTTTTTGAACTTCATTTGCTCCCATAACCCGCAACCCTGACCCCACCCCCCCAGCCGGAAGGGCCCAAGAAGGGACCCATAGCTTTTCAAGAAACCCTTTCTCCCCGAAAAAAACTCTACATCATCCCTATGAAGCCTCCCCAAAACGGGGCAAATCATTTAGGGTTTAGGGTTTAGGGTTTAGGACAAATGACTTTTGAAAAGCTCCCTCAAAGTGGGCATCTGTCCTTTAGGAACCCAGACATCGAGAATTTTGGTGCCGTAGCCGCTGATGGACACCCAGCCTGCAAAAGGCAGTATGACTCAGGGTGTTATTAGGGTTTAGGATTGATCACTAACTATGCTTCAAGAAGGTCTTCATGACGGCAACTGATTTCGAGACGATAGCAATTTAAAGAAACCCGCGCATCATCAAATCATTTTAAACTGCATTTGTAGCGCAATTCTTTCTATGCTGACTACCCGCTTACTTGAAGGTTCACGGCACTTCGTAACTAGTGGTACTATAACCCCACTTATACTTGGGGAAACCTAGATAGGTCCAGTTAGGGACTTATAGGTAGAGTTTTAATCCCAGTTATAAGTCCCATGAGCCTTCAAGTCTTGCTGCTACTTTGCTTGCCCCATGCGATCCCGAGTCACCACTGCGGTTGCTACTTACTGGCTGTTCGTAGGGAATGGATAACCCCGAATGAGGCCGTAGTTTCGCAATATCTCCAACTTCCTAACCCTGAACCCAATAGTGCTTCCAGGGCCTTTTCCATTCCCTGAACGCGGATTACCCAAACCTTAAACCCTTCACGTCAGGCTGAGGCCCGTACCCATACCAGCGATGACCTCTCAAATCACAAGCGATTCGATTGGCAAACAATTAAGTTTAGGGTTCAGGGTTTAGACAATGAAACAGTAACGGGCATAGTCATGCTGCTTAAGATGATGGCGCTGACAAGAGTTGCGAGCTGCGGGCAAAATCAGCGACAAGCCAGACAGAATCTGCATTAATAGTACAAATAGTGATAATAAGAACAATAAGAATAGTGGTAAAAGATAATAATAACTATAGTAATATTATTGTAATTATAGAAATACATTAAAAAATGCAATGATCGTTGCATGTAAGGCCCCTGCAATGTCATCCCAGGCACGATCACTGCTGCCAAAGACCTGCGGGACGCCACACTGCTATGCTATAGGCAGCTACCCCTGCAAAGCTCCTAAGAGACTACAGTTGACGGATAAAATCCTGCATGACCCTAACCCTAAGGGTCCAAGGACCCAAATAATATGGTTTTAGAGCCCAAAGGCGATCAATATTGTAGTAATTGGGCCCTAACACCTTACCCTTAGGGGTTGGTATATATGATCATGAAAAAGGCTCAACAGTAGCATCCTTGTCCCTTGAAAACCGTGCAATCTGGGCCTCAGTTTGGGGACAATGCTGGATTGGCGTATCCAAGCTTAAATTCAGTAAGGGTTTTAGGGCCCAAATACCATTAACATTATTGTATTTGGGCCCTAAAACCCTACGAACTATTTGGGTCCTTGGACCCTTAGGGGAAGTTATTGCGATGCATGTTTTCTTCCCGCCCTGGACCCTGGTAAGCTTAGAGGGAGCCGGAGAATATTGAGAAAGCTCCGACTACGGCCACACAGAGGCCCATTCCGATATTTCGGGATTGAGTTTAGGGTTTAGGTTTTAGGGTTTAGGTTTTAGGGTTTAGGATTTAGCTGCCCCGTTGAAGTGTTGCCCTCAGTCAACGACAAAAAAATACTTATGATTCTGTGTCTTTCCTGCCAGGAATGTCATCCGCCTGCATCATTCAGGTTAATGTTTGGTGCTGATTAGTGCGCGTACTACCCCCAAACAAAATCGGGTCCCTAGTTAATGTAACGGGGTGGGGGTCTCCCGCAAACGAATCTGGATCTCAATAGGAGGGATCAGGATCGGCTTGGTAATGATTAGATCAGACGGTTTTTGGAGAGCATTTGGAAGGATTTCTCTTGAGTTATTCTCAGACTTCCTTTTTGGACGCGCAATTTCTCACCATTAAGGGCCCCTAAACAAATCAGGGGGGGTGCTGAATAATTTGGGCGAAGCTTCGCACAATTCAGCGCCCCGAATGACAAATGTCCGCTCTTCATAGGAGTTTTGGAACGATAGGGCCCTAAACCCCAAACTCCAACCTCC